CAATGCCCGACTTTTTTTTTTTTTTTTTGGTAGAGATGGGGTCTCACTCCGGCTCATGCTGGTCTCGAACGTCTAGAGCTCAGGTGATCCACCTGTTTCGGCCTCCCACAGTGCTAGGACAACAGGTGTGAGCAGCCACGCTTGGCCTGCCCGGCTATTTTTTGGTTGCACTTGTCATTGTTGTTTTAGCAGGCTGGGTCGGGCTTGAACCAACCAGCGTTGGTGTATGTGGCTGGCACCCTGCTCACCGAGCTACGGGCGCTGAGCCTCCCCTTCTTATTTCTAAATAATGTGCTCATTTTCCTGTTTCCTAACTTATTAGTTCTGGATGTTCTCTCTGCTTGATAGATGATGATAGCTTTCTGTCATTATTCCCACCTCCCTGACCTCCCTAGAAAATTCTCCAGCCTCATTCTTCTAGTCTCATTAGGGTCTGAGGATCTGGTGGTTGTATTCGTCATGGCTTACATTATGACTCTGGGGCTCTCGTACAGTCTTTTAAAATTTTTATTTTACTGATATATAATCATACATGTTTATGGGGCACATGTAATTTTTTATTTTTGAGACAGAGACTTAAACTGTCACCCTGGGTATGGTGCCATGGCATCACAGCTCATAGCAACCTAAAACTCTTGGGCTTAAATGATTCTCTTGACTCAGCCTCCCAAGTAGCTGGGACCACAGTTGCCCACCACAACACCTGGCTATTGTTTTGTTGTTGCAGTTGTCATTGTTCTTTTATTTTTTTTTTTGGTTGCAGTTGTTATTATTCTTTCAGCTGGCCCGGGCTGGGTTCGAACCCGCCAGCCTTAGTGTATGTGGCCGGCTCCTTACCGACTGAGCTCAGGCACCACCCACATGTGATATTTGATATAAACATATAATGTGTAATGATCAAATCTGGGTAATTGGGATATCTATCACCCCAAATATTTATCATTTCTTTGTGTTGGAAGCATTCCAAATCTTTTCTGTTTTGAAGTAGGCAATACATATTCCCGTTAACTGTCCTCACCCTGCTGTGCTATGAAGCACTGGAACTTATTCCTTCTAACTGTGTACTTGTGCCCATTACCTATCCTCGTCCCTCCACCCCACTGCCCTTCCCAGCCCCCCTTCTGCTCATGACCTCCATGAGATCCACTTTTGTAAGCTCTCACCTGTAAGTGACAACCTGTGGTATTTGTCTTTCTGTGCCCAGCTTATTTTACTTAATGTACTCCAGGTTCATCCACGTGGCTGCACGTGGCAGGATTTCGTTCTAAATGATTGAATAACACTCTGTTGTGTATAGGATGTGTATTTCCCCTCTGCGTCACCCATAGCGAGGCTGTTGTGAATGGTGCTGTAGTAAACGCGGAGGGCAGCCCCCTCTTTGCTGTACTGATTTCCTCTCTTCTGCAGACATACCCAGCAGTGGGGTCACATGGTAGCTCTACCTCCATGCTGTTTTCCACGGCGGCTGTACTAATTGATATTCCCACCGACCATGTTTCGGTAGGAGGTTTTCTCTACAATTCAGCGAGACTCTCAGGACTGAATCTCATCAGAGTGGGTCATGTGCTTGGACCTAAACCAAGGTGATGAGTAGATCGCTTCTCAGCCTTGTGGCTAAGAGCAAGTGCAATATGATGGCCGAGGTGTAGACGTGGGGCAGGTGGAAACGCCACACGGATTCCTTTCCTCTGAGTTCTCCTTTCTCGCTGCTCGGCACCCGGTCTGGCCGGTGGTGGTCCTCCGTGATGTAGTTTCTCCTCCTCTCTGCTTCTGAAAATCCCACCCACCCTTCGTGGCCAATGGAGGCGAGTCCTCCCCTCACCCTGTCAGCCTGAGTGGTCTGTCTCTCCTCTCCTGGGGTCCACCCTGTCCTTAGGACTTCTCATTATCTCCTTTCTTTTTATTTATGGTGTCCCTTGGGTTGAGGAGTATAGCAGGAGGACCCTGCTGAGGTGTTTGGGGCGGGGGAAGGAGGTGCAGAGTTTGGTTGTGGGAGTTCACCGTGACATTGGTGCTGAGCGCGGCTGTGACGAGACGAGCCCACTGGGAGGTGTGTGGACTCTGGAGCCGCACACACTTCCTGTGCGTGACCCCAGCTCTACCACCATGCGCGTGTGGTCGTGAGCAAGTCCTGGATCCCCTGGAAGCTTTGCTTCCTTACTCCATAACACAGGCATGGTTCCAGTGCCCACCTGAGGGGCAGCCTGGTGGGGAAATGAAGCATACTTGGAATAGTGCCCAGAGTTTACGGGCACACAGAAATGTCACCTCTCTGTCCCCCAGAAGGGTCACGAATGAGAGCAGTGTGGGAAGAAAGCATCAGCCACCACCTTGCTTGTTCCTGAGAACTGCAGGTGTCGGGTTCCCACCCCTGAAAAGCTGGGGTTGTTTCCATCACAGTCACACCAGCGGAACTGACAGTGCTTACTGTAAACCAGCTGTTCTTTGTGTCTTGGCTCATTTCATCTCAGTGACATCAGGAAGTAAGCACTCTTGTTTGCCCTGCTTTAAAGATGAAGATGTCGAGACCCAAAGAGGGTCGATTACTTGTCAAAGTAACACTCCTGGTACTTACGGAAGATGGGATTGGAACCTGGGCCGGCTTGTTCAGATTGCTCTAACTCCTCAGTTGCTCATAAGCTGTCCAGGGCCAGGGAAGGGAGCTTTCAGTATGGTTTCAGTGCTGGCTCTGGCCCCGCTCAGATGTGGCAGAGCAGTCACCATCTGCCTGTGCCTGTCACGGTCCTGCTTGACTCCACAACTGCGGGTCCTCCCGGGGGACACAGCTGGCTGGGCCAACTGATCTCACCTCTTTTTTTGACCTGATGTTTGGTTGCCTGGCCCTTAAAATTACAACCCGTGTGGCCTCACCCCTCTCTAGGTGCCTTAGCAGGGAAGTAAGTTTCACCAGGCAGAATCTCCCCACTTTTTGAATCATCTTTCTGAGTATTAGAGACTAGGGAGTGTGGACAGCTGACCGTTGCCACTCAGTAAGAACTCCTTTGCAAGGTCACTGCCGAGAGTAATCTGGTTTAGTGCCAATGTCTTATCTGATTTCTGGAGCAGAGATAAAGGTAGTACAGTGCTGCTTTTGTTTTCAAAGGCCGGTGGTTGTAATAAGTTAATGAAGATCAGAGGTAAACTATTAAGTAATGTGCTCGGATACTTACAGAAGTAATAATAGGGGATGGACATGGGCGGAAAGAGGTTGAAGTGATATTTGCATTAACATGGCACATCAAGACATAAACTGTATTGTATTTTAATATTGGCCCTGGGGTTGTGTATGCTAAGCAGCCTGTTTCATTGGTGTCTTTCTCAAGCAAGGCTGAAGTGGGGGCAGAGCAGGTGTGTCCTCTCATGACCTAGGGTGGGTGAGTCCAGGTGAGCAGATGAAAACACCTGCTCACGTCACTGGTGGTACAGGCAGGGGTGAAACTCTGGTCTCCAACTCTAAGATTCAATTTTTTTTTTTAAATTGTGTACAGAGGGGCGGGATTCATTTACAAATTCCAGAGGTGGATAGATGGTGGATATCAGTTTGGTTTTTCTACCCGAGAGTAAACAGGCCCTTAGTGCCACAAAGCATTTGGGGTCGTTCCCTGTCTAAGGTGGTGGTGCTACTGGGCTTCCTGCCTCATGTCACAGGGTTTAGCCCACGGAGTAGCGTGTGACTTTCCCCTCTCGGCATCTCTCCGGGGAGGGTATTGGTTTGGAGGCAGATGTTGATGGAGACAAAAATAGCCTTTCTCTGTCTGAATGTATTAAAATCATTTAAAAAGTGGCCCCAGGCTCAGCACCCATAGCACAGTGGTTACGGCACCCGCCACATGTACCCAGGCTGGCGGGTCTGAACCTGGCCTGGGTCAGCTAAACAACAATGACAACTGCAACCAAAAAGTAGCTGGGTGCTGTGGTGGGTGCCTGTAGTCCCAGCTACTTGGGAGGCTGAGGCAAGAGAGTTTGGGGTTGCTCGCTTTAACCCAAGAGTTTGAGGTTGCTGTGAGCTGTGATGCGATGGCACTCTACCGAGGGTGACATAGTGCAACTCTGTCTCAAAAAAAAAAAAAAAGTGTCCCCAAAGCAGGTCATTAGGAAGCTTGTGCCTTAGTAGTTTTAAGAGCCTGAGCTCCAGAGCTTGGATTCTAACCCTGACTCACTACTTTCTACTTTCATGACCTTGACAAGGTATGTGACCTTTCTGTGCCTCAGTTACCTCATCTGGAAAATGGGAAGACTGTGAGGGCCTCCCTTCTAGGATTGTTGAGAAGTGAACGACTGGTGTGACTCCTCCCTGGCACACAGTGGATGCCATGTAGCGTGAGTTGTTATTACCCACAGCTGCTCTTGTCACAGCAGACCAGTAGGCATGGTAGCAGGAGTAGCGTCTTCTTACTTGTAGCATTTCCCTGTGGCACATTTTGCCTTGTGGCATCAGCAGTGTCGGAAAATCCAACAGGAGCAGACAGAGGTCTGAAAATCATTGATCCCTTTAGTTAAACTCTTTAACGGCACTGTCTGATTTTTCCAGAGGCCTCAGCGTTGTCCCCGATGAAGAAGTCATTGACATGTACGAGGGATCCCACGTGCCCTTGGAACAGATGAGCGATTTTTACGGAAAGGTAAGAGAAGCGCTTTATTCATGTAAAGCAGCCGGACTTTCTCCTGCTGGAAAGGTGGCCTTGTAGACCCAGGACCTCGATTTGCCATCCTCGCCTCCTGCTCATGTGGAAATGACGAGGTGATTGGAGATTGTGTTTTGAGAGATGCTAGTCTGTCACAGTGCTCCTTTCTTAAGCGGTTCCTCCCTACCTGGTGGAGGCTCTTTTGCCCTTCCTTGTACCTACCCCTGTTTGCCAGCACGGTCCAGGATGTCCTTGCTTTCTGGACTGGGGCACTGAAAGGATTAGGGGCCGTCAATGTGGGGGCAGTGCTTCCCCTGAGGCCTGGCTATAGGGTGCCAGAGATTGATGCCCACACTGTGACCCTTTTGTCCTGAAGGGAAACATCTGCTTTTCTCACTTTTGTAGTTCTCTTTGGTCTTGGAAGTTTTGCTTTTTGTCTTATTAGAGGCACTAACTTACTCGTCTGTCAAAATGAAAGGGAAGGTCCCTAGTCAGCCAGTAAACTTGGTACTGGCTTAGGACTGCTGAGGCTGTCCCCGACTTACCATGGTTCAATGTAACATTTTTTTCACTTTACAATGGTGTGAAACCATTGCAACTTCTATGCAAATTACAGTATTGAGTAAGCTCCACGAGATAGTCAACACTTTATTACAAAATAGGTTGATGCTTTTGGTCAACTGGAGGCTAACGTAAGGCTTCTGAGCATGTCTAAGGTATAGGCGTGGCTGAGCTATGATGTTTAGTAAGGTGGACCTGTCAGTACATTTCTGACTTATGATGAGCCTGTCAGGATGCGACTCCATTGTAAGTGGAGGAGCATGTGTTGTATAATTCACAAGCATTCAGACAAAAGCTCTATTAAGCTTAGATGTGGACTGTGCCAGTGTGCTCCCCCTGAGGAGACGTAAATGACCTTTTATGGCATCACCTGGGCAATGATCATTTTCCTGCTTTCCTCTGTGTTTCTTGAAAGAATGTGAATGGGAGAATGGGGAATCCATCTAGTTTTTCATTAAAACAAGATGGTGCTCACACTGTTGTCTGGATTTTGAATCCTTTCTGATCAGCACAGGAAAGAGTGGGGGGTGGGGGCAAGGGCAGTCAGACGTGGTGGGAAATCATTTCTGTGGATATTGTAGTCATGCTTACATCAGGACAGAGGGGACATTTTACCTTTTTCTTAGAATTTTTTTGTGTGTGTGTGTGAGACAGAGGCTTGTTCTGTCACTCTGGGTAGAGTGCTATGATATCACAGCAACCTCAAGCTCCTGGGCTCAAGCGATCCTCTTGCCTCAGCTTCCCAAGTACTGGGACTACAGGTACCCATCACAACGCCTGGCTATTTTTTTGTTGTTGTCATTGTTGTTTGGCAGGCCTGAGCCTATTTCGAATAGCCCTGGTGTATGTGGTTGGTACCCTAGCTGCTGAGCTACAGGTGCCGAGACATGGCTATTTTTTTTTTTTTTTAAATTAGAGACAGGGTCTTACTCTTGCTCAGGCTGGTCTTGAACTCATGAGCTCAGTCCAGGTGTCCTCAAACTATGGCCCGCAGGCCACATGTGGCCCACTGAGGACATTTATCCGGCCCCCTGGGTGTTTTTGCCACCGCTGCCTGTCCTGCTTAGCAGCTGACTCGTCCCGGGGCCCGCAGTCCAGCCCTCCAACAGTCTGAGGGACAGTGAACTGCCCCCCTATTTAAAAAGTTTGAGGACCCCTGGCTCAGGCAGTCCACCCATCTTGGCCTCCCAGAGTGCTAGGATTTTAGGCGTGAGCCACCATACCCGGCCAATTTTTTTTTTCTTACTGGAGAGGGCTCTAAGTGTTGGCAGGCAGAGGTCCCTTTTAGAAGGCTTCCTGTCCCCAGTGCTCTGTTGCAGGTGGCCCTCCACCCATGTGGGCCCCATCTCTGAAGCACTTCCTCACTGTCTGCAGAGTTCCCATGGAAACACCATGAAGCAGTTCATGGACATCTTCTCGCTGCCCGAGATGACCCTCCTGTCATGTGTGAACGAGCACTTCCTGAAGAACAACATCGACTACGAGCCTGTCCACCTGTACAAGGATGTCAAGGTTGTGTCCACACGGGGCTGCGTCTCTCTTAGCTCGTCGGTAGAAGTAACTGGGCCTTTAGCCTCCTTTCTAGGTTAGGTGCTTGAAATGGTCTCTTAGCTGGGATTTCTATTTGCAGTTTGACCTTGAAAATTGTAAGAAAGATGTTGTTACATCAGGAGAATGAGAAATCCATCTAGTTTTTTATTAAAACAAGATGGCGCTCACACTGTTGTCTGGATTTTGAATCCTTTCTGATCAGAAGATTCAGGGCCAGTGTGCTCGGCCAAAGGGCTGAGGAGGGACAGGATGAGGGTGTCCCTTCCTCATGAGAAGAGATGATGTTTATCCCCTTGGCTGAAGTCGCCCAGAAGACGGTCCCTTTCTCTCTTGCTCACAAAGGTTCTGAATGGCTCTTGAGGCCCCATGGAAGCCACGCAAAGGATCTAGTCTGAGAGGAATCTAGACAGATATAAACGTGCATATGCACAGACACGGTGAGTCCTTGGTTTCTGGAGGTTCTTGGAAACTGGACATGAGTGAAACTTGTGTACAGCAGTTCCTAAACTAGTGTTGTTTTTTCATCATTCTGTTACAACGTGGATGAGGAAAAAAAAGACGGATATGGTTCTATATCATTTCACTTAAAGTCACAATTTCTAAGGACCTTTCAAAAACATTAAGGATTTACTATACACGTTGTTCGTGTGTATAAATTTAAATTTACATTGACGTGTGTATATAATTCTTTTTTTAACTCTCATTTTTTTTTAATTGGAAAAAATATACTATTATGAAGGGAAATTACAAACTTATTTCACTTATAAATGAGGATGCAATATCCTAAACAGCGTATTAACAAGTTGAATTAAAAATTATTGTTCGAGTAATGTACTTTGGTCAAAATTAAATCCAACTTATGTGAGAATTAGTCACTATTTTCTTTCCTTTTTTTTCTCTTTCTCCCATCCCCTCCCTCCTTCTCTGGCTGCTCTCCCCTTCTCCCATGCCCAGCCCCACCATGTCATTAATTGTCCTCATGTCAAAGTTGAATACATAGGATGCTTCTCCATTCCTGTGATGCTTCACTAAGAATAATGTGTTCCACCTCCATCCAGGTTAATACAGTGCTGCAAAATCTCCATTTTTTTTTTTTTTTTTTTAGAGACAGAGTCACATTTTGTTACCCTCAGTGGAGTGCTGTGGTGTCACAACTCACAGCAACCTCCAACTCCTGGGCTGAGGTGATTCTCTTGCCTCAGCCTCCTGAGTAAGCTGGGACTACAGGCGCCCGCCACAACACCTGGCTATTTTTTTGTTGCAGTTTGGCCGGGGCTGGGTTTGAACCTGCCACCCTCAGTATATGGGGCCGCTGCCCTATTCACTGAGCCACAGGCACCGCCCAAATCTCCATTTTATTAAATGGCTGAATAGTATTCCATGGTATACATATACCACAGCTTGCCAATCCATTCCTGGATTGAGGGACATTTAGGCTGTTTTCACATTTTGGCGATTGTAACTTGAGCTGCAATAAACAGCCTAGTACAAGTGTCTTTATATAAAAGGTTTTTTTTTTCCTTCTGGATAGATGCCCGGTAATGGGATTGCAGGATTAAACAGAAGGTCTAGGTTGAGTTCTCTGAAGTTTCTCCATACTTCTTTCTAGAAAGGTTGTATTAGTTTGCAGTCCTACCAGCAGTGTAAAAGTGTTCCTTTCTCTCCACATCCATGCCAACATCTGCAGTGTTGTTCGTATAATTATTTCAGCTGTATGAACTTTTCTAATACTAAAAGGTAGGATGATTGAAAAATTAAAAAAAAATTCAAAGAAAAAAAGATATGTATTTATGTATTTATGACATATAATAGTTAGAAATACGTGTTTACTTATATGTAATATTTATTTAAAATATTTATATTTTAGAAAGATACATGTTTATACCCTGAAATACTTTTATTATGTGTTTATGACTAATTTTACATTTTGACTGCCCCAAATCCTGGGCTTTAGGAAGATAAGGGATGAATTATAATTTCTCAATATCAGTCTGGTATTATCTGAACCAAATTTAAATATTTGCTCTCTACTCTCCTTTCTGTTACACAGATCTTTAAAAATCTTTAAGCATCACTTGTAGTAACCCTTAGCATTCATGAGGTGAGATGTTTATTTGAAAGTTTGGGGTTTTTTTTTTTCTTTTTTTTTTTGAGACAGAGTCTCACTTCGTTGCCCTTGAAAGAGTGCCGTGGCATCATGGCTCACAGAAAGCTCAAACTCTTGGGCTCAAGAGATCTTCTTGCCTTAGTTTTTCATTTTTCAGTAGGGATAGGGTCTTATTCTTGCTCAGGCTGGTCTTGAACTTGTGAGCTCAAGCGATCCACCCACATTGGTCTTCTAGAGTGCTTGAAGGTTCAGTTTTTACTGCAGGTATGACTACCACCCATAGAGGCACTGACCCAGAACTAACTTAGTCCCAGGGACTGTGCTTCTGAGTGCTGTATGTATGTTAACTCACTAAATATTCACAATAATGCCTTGAAGTAGGTACTATTATTATCATCTCATTTTATAGGGAGAAATTAAGGCACAGAGAAGCTGAGTAACTTGCCCAGAGTCACACAGCTAATAAGTAGCAGAGTTTTGATTTTTAAGCCAGGCAGTCCAACTCGCATTTAACCACTGCCTTCTGCTGCTGGTGTGAAATTGAAACGGGCCTGTGCTGAAAGGCAATCGGGGTTGAGATGACCATCGATGTGCCCACTCCTGACAGAAATCTCCCACCCAGAGTCCAAGGCAGTGTTTTCCAGCCTTTTTTATGTCACAGCTCACTTGAAGCTGTAGTTAAACTTCTGTGGCACACTTAAATTAGGTTGATCAAAAAAAAAAAAAGAGTAAAAAAGAATATACTTACTGTGCTTTGAACTTCTTTTGAAAATAATTTATTTGATATAAAGTTTTTGCAGCACACCCAAGCTCGTCTCATGGCACACTGGTTGAAAATCACTTGTCTAATGCTTATGCACAGTTTTGCTTGCAACCCAGTGTCTTGCTGCGGACTCTAGAAAGTTTCCATATGCCTCTAGGTGTGTCTTCCATGGGGAGACCCTGTTCCCTGCCACCTGCAGGTGGGACTGTGCTTGCTTCCTGCCAAGCATCCTTCTGCCACATTCCTGAGCCCATAGAGGGTTAACATCCTCCTCCGCTTCCTCCTCCTCTTCTCCTCATCCCTGTGCATGCCGGCTGGACCACATCTCTGTCCGAACTATACGGTCTGATTGATTGTTCCTTGCCCTATTGGTGATATCAGAAAGAGAAAAGGAGGAATCTGCTATCGCTGTATGTCTCATACAGGTCACACTCCTCCTGTGCTCTGGGGATGGAGATACGTGCAATCCAGAAAAGACAAGATGTCCATGATACTGCACAGAAATGACCGATTCTCACCTGGGATTTTATTCAAAATTGTTCACACAAGCTAACCTCTTCCAAGGGACCCTTTTGAAAAGTGCACTGGAAACTTCCACCATCATGTAAAGCTTTGCCTGAGGGGCCGCCCGTGACAAACAGACCAGAATTTAGATTTTGTGGAGTGCCTGGACGGTCAGCCTCTAACTCAGCCTATCCCAGGGGCACTGTTACTGATCAAAACTGTATCTTTTAACAGGACTCAATTCGAGACGTCCACATCAAAGGAATTATGTACAGAGCAATCGAAGCAGATATTGGTATGTGCTCGGGACTGTCCTGCAGGCCGTTTCGGCCTTTGTGCCAACATGCAGGCATTTCACTTTGCATTGTGGGGGCTGTGGGGGCTGCGGGCCTCTCCTCTGAATGCTGTGTAAGGACCTTGCATCCTGGCAGCTCAGGCATCTTCTCTTTGTCCCTAGAACTTGACATAATTCTGACTCAAAATGGGAGGAGCTGGCAGTTGCAGTCCCCTTCGTTTTTTCTAGTTGGACCGAGGAAGCCGGGTCTTTGTTACTGATGCACTGGGTACCCACGTGCCACTGTGAACCAAACTACCTTATGCCTTTTATTCCCCGCTGTGACTAGGACAGTGCTGGGCCCATACGTATATGCCCTGTTAGTAGGAACTAGCAGACTGACTGATTTCACGCTGAATCTGTGTGTGAATTTCTCTCATCCTTAGACAAGTACATCTGCTACGCTGAGCAGACACGTGCAGTGTTGGCCAAACTGGCTGATCATGGCAAGAAGATGTTTCTCATCACCAATAGCCCCAGCAGCTTTGTGTAAGTCCTTCTGCATTTCATCACTAGCTTTTGGCTCATCTCTTATATTGCATGTATTTTAGCAGTTGGAAATTGGAAAGAAAAAGTTGCAAACATAGTTCATGCCTTTAATGTTAGACTGAGCTGGTTGCCTTCTTGTCCTAGGGACAAAGGGATGAGTTATATTGTTGGGAAAGACTGGAGGGACTTGTTTGATGTGGTCATCGTTCAGGCCGAGAAGCCAAACTTCTTTAATGATAAGCGGAGGTGAGTGTCTGTCTCTCTGGGAGACTAAATTTTATTCCTTTACTGCTGTGCCTACCTATGTTGTGTGGTCTTGGTAAAATTCGGTTGCAAAATTGTAAGCATCTGTGTTTATATCTTTAATTTTTTTTTTTTTGAGACAGAGTGGGACTTTATTACCCCTGTAGAGTGCGATGATGTCATAGCTCACAGCAACCTCAAACTCTTGGGCTAGAGCAATCCTCTTGCCTCGACCTCCCTAGAGGCTGGGACTACAGATGCCCACCACAACACCTGGCTATTTTTAGAGCTGGGGTCTTGCTCTTGCTCAGGCTGGTCTTGAACTTGGGAGCTCAGGCAGTCCACCCACCTTGGCCTCCCAGAGTGTTAGGATTAGGGCCATATCTTTAGATTTTTAATCCTACCAAGTAATCTCAGGGAGGCTGAGATGAGCTCCTGTATAGCAGACAGCTTGCACTCATTGAAATGGTTCTCAACTTTACTTGGGCTGCTTCAGACCTACAAGTTAGGCTTTAACTAAATGACAGTGATGCAGAATTCAAACTTAATATCCAATAGCAAATTAGGTCTTTAGCTGCAGATGCATTTGTGAAGCATAAGAAAACAATAGCAATAACAAATCGCCTGGGGGCAGCTCTTTAAACAGAGCTCTAATTGGTGCATTTAAAATTGCAGTTGGCTCTTGCAAAACTTCTCTACAACACAAGTTTTGCATCAAGTGGAGGAAATCTCTATCATGTTTCCTATAACGTCTTCCTGCCACAGTAGCCTTGGGAAATGGGGCACGGGGGAAGTTTCAGGTTGGGACAGAAAGTGGGGTGTGCTGTTAGTATTTAGTGTGTGGAGGCGAGGATGCTAAAATATCTTTTAATGTGCGGGACACATCTGTTCACCAAGAGTTCTTCCCCCCAAATGTCCATAGTGTTGAGAATTACTCAAAAATAATGGTCACAAGGATGAATAGAAAAGGAAGATTATTCAGCTATTATTTTGGGCTTCCCGAGCAAGATATGTGACCACCCCTACCCCGCCACAGGGAGAAGGGTCCAGGACATTGCCCTGAACTTGTAGAATAATGGCCTATTTGTGAAACCCTTTCAGCCACATTTATCTCTTCTGTAGTTGGTACCCAGGCAGCCTTTTTCTCTCTGTTAGGTGACTTAAAGCACTGGAGTGCAGTACCTTGCAGTTTGGGTTGAAAACATTAAATTCCTCTTGGGATGCTAAGTTCCAGTTTTCCATGTGACAGTGATTCCCGGAAGAAGAAGCAAATCCAAGAACTACGTGCAGGGACTGAAAAATGCTTGATGGGATTCAAGAGAACGAAGGAAAAACTAGAGTGTGATCAAAAACAGCTGGACAGACTGACTTGCTGCTTTGTCTCTGTTTCAACTCAGCTTTAGCTGTGGCTGGAGTTACCCCAAAAGCAGTGGCCAGGGGGAGTTCCCATAAGGGAGTTCCCCAAACTGACCCAAGATGGGGTTAGTTGGGATTCTAAAGAAAGAAGCAGTGAACTCCAGGCTGATCTGCCCAAAGCATTTATTAGGGGAAGGAACTTACAAGGAGGCTGCAGAACATTCCCGGGCAGAACGCAGGGAGAAAGGATATTCTGTCTAGGCGTGTCCCCCACAAAGGGGCCAGGGCGTGGAGCTCATATGAGGGCTTAAGGAATTTGGCTCAGGCCTGGGGCTCGTGTCTTTCAGGGTTTAGGGCAACAATCTCCAGACCGTCATCAGTGCCTGGGAGTGTTTAAGACCCTGGCTTGAGTCTAAGACTGCAGGACAAAATATGCAGCTGGCTGGATCACAGAGCAATCAAGGCACCCTCCGTCCAGACAGAGAAGGACGGAGTTGGGGATCCAGGAGGGCGAGACCCTGCAGTCTTTGATAAAATGTTTACAGTCTTTTCTTAGCAGATTCCATAGTGTGGTAGGAGAAGGGCCCCTTTCTCCTCTCCTCTGTCAGGTTTATACATAGTGGAGCAGCAGTGTCCTTGTCCCTTGTCCCTGTTGTGGGGCAGGGAGATGGTCACGCATCTATTTTGCCTTTGTTCTGGAAGCCTAAAATAATAGCTGAATAATCTCCCATCTGTATTCATCCTTGTGTTATTTATTTATCATACTGAGAGGGCAGAAATAACCCAAAAGCCCACAGTGGGAGATGACTAGTTACATTCAGAACATCCATATTAGGGGGTACTATGTAGCCATTAAAAATGCTGCTTTTGGAAAAAAGCAGTGAGCATGTTTTATTGCTATAAAAGATGCATTTAGGAATATGTAACCCCATGGGAAGTTGCTCACAATATTAGACAGAAAGATATAAAGTCACGGTACACAAAGTGTCCTCTTTTTATGTTCGTAGGAAAGAGATAACAGATTTTATGTAAAGATTAAAAGACATCGTAGTGAAATGTGAAGTGTTCATACCTGCGTACTGGAGTTATGGGTCACCTTCCTTTCCTTCCTTATATTTTCCAGATTTTCTACAGCAAGTTTTTAGTTTTCTAATCACAAAAACAATTTGATAAAAAAGTGAGGAACAAGGCCTTATCTCTGCTTCCCATTTCACATCGTAAAATTGTGTGCCTGGTCCTCTGATTTGTTTTTTGTCTAATGAGGCTGAATTTGGGGCACAAAGCTGCATAAATGTAATGAAGTAGTATTTTTTTTTTTTTTTTGAGACAGAGTCTCACTCTCACCCTAGGTAGAGTGCTGTGACATCATAACTCACAGCAACCTCAAATTCCTGGGTTCTAGCAATCCTCTTGCCTCAGCCTCCTGAGTAGTTGGGACTACAGGTGCTTGCCACAAGGCTTGGCTATTTATTATTTTTTTTGCAGTTTTTGGCCAGGGCTGGGTTTGAACATGCCACCTCTGGTGTATGGAGCCGGCACCCTACTCCTTTGAGCCACAGGTGCTGCCTGCGCCTGGCTATTTTTTAGAGACAGGGTATGGCTCTTGCTCAGGCTGTTCTTGAACTTGTGAGCTCAAGGATTCTACCTGCCTTGGCCTCCCAGACTGCTAGGATTACAGGTGTGAGCCACCACACCCAACTAAAGTAGCCTTTCTGAAAGCTTTTCTTGGGGAGTCTTTTGCACAAACAAGTTTGAGAAATCTGGGGGAAAGAAGGTATCTTTACAGTAAGGATTTTCAGAGCCATGAGTAACTTTTATTTATTTCTTTTATTTTTTTGAGACAGACTCTCACTATGTTGCTCTCAGTAGAGTGCTATGGCATCACAGCTCACAGCAACCTCAAACTCTTGGGCTTAAGCGATTCTCTTGCCTGAGCCTCCCAAGTAGCTAGGACTACAGGTGGCCACCACAACACCCAGCTGTTTTTTTGTTGCAGTTATCATTGTTGTTTAGCTGGCCCGGGCCGGGTTCGAACCTGCTACCCTTGGTGCACGTAGCTGGCACTGTAACCACTGCGCTACAGGCACCGAACCCATGAGTAACTTTTACCCAGGGACATATACGCTGCATGTGTCTTTCAGATTTATTTAACTCTGGAATTCTTTTTTTCATGAAACGCCTTTGGGGTACTTGGTGTATTATAGCTGGCCAGAGACTGTGGTGGTGGAGTTTTGGTTTCAGGGGTTTGTCCAGGTTAGTGGAGGGAGCTACCTCTGTCGTCAGTGAGGAACTGTGTGTTATTCCGTAGTGCAGACAGCCTGCACTACTTCGTGTGTGCTAATGCTTCCCATTTCTGTTGTTAGACCCTTCCGAAAGGTGAATGAGAAAGGCGTCTTACTCTGGGATAAAATCCACAAGTTGCAGAAAGGCCAGATTTACAAGCAGGTACCTCATCACCAGTGTTTCCTCTCTGTTGCTTTGCTCTGTGGTCAGTAATAATGTGAAGAGCTCACGTTCATTGAGGTGTACCCACATAGTTCCGTGCCCGGCAGGTTAATGCCAACCTGGAAAGGTGATCACGGCGTGTTAAGTTTAGAGCTTTCCTGAACTAGACTGTTTATAAATTGGTGGTAAACGTAAGTTTACATCAATGTATTTTCAGTATGCTAATAACTAAACTAATTCAACATGGGACAGTTTTTAAAAACAATTTCAAATGTTACTTTCGTAGTATATAAAACGTAAAATGCCGATAATAAGGAACATTGGCTATTCTCTTTAAGGACATTCAATCATAGCATATTATTCTCCCCAGTTAGTAATTATTTCCAGACTCTATGTGTTTTAAGTACAGCTTTAGTTATATTTTGGCATTATGGAAGGTTCTCCCATGTTTGAATGAATGATTGAATTGCTGACCATTATTATGTTACTGAAGTGCGTATTTTAAATTAATTTTAACATAGTCTTGGTGAATGTGGCGATAAGGGTATTTTCTAGGCCTTGAAAAATTAGCTTTGATCAAGTCATTTCACTCCTGGCAGTTATCCTAAGAAAGTTAAGATGTAGGCAATAAAACTTTGCTACAAACATGTTTACCAGGTAGATAGATAATAGATACAAAAAAGATAATGTGAATGGCCAACAAGAGAGAATTGGACAACTGGATCACAGACTTCTTAGCTACTGTAATTACTTGGCAGACTAATATCAACACGGCAAGATGGTCATGTAATATGTATTAAAAGATAGTTACAAAGAAATATATATACTATGAATACTTCCTGAAAAGTACATTTGACTCAGGAGAAAGGCCTGGAAGATTTCCTATGAAGGTGCTTTTCTCTTTATATTTTGATAATTAAAATAAGTTAGAAACCAAAAAGCAATCTTTTCAAGGCTTTTCGTAGGGATTTTGGATGACGAGTTAGATTTCTGTCTCTGTGATATATCTATGTTTTTCTCATCGCAGGGTAATTTATATGAATTTTTGAAGCTTACTGGTTGGAGAGGATCCAAAGTGTTGTATTTCGGTGACCACATATACAGTGACCTGGCGGTGAGCTGCTTTCTTTTCCTCTTTGCTGGTAGGGACTGGCATGTTAGTCTCACTTATTAAGAAGTGAGACTTATTTCTCTTTTGTTTAAGGTCATTTTTATGCTTTCATAAAAACTAAGAGTAGGCCACATTTTTTTAATGTCTCAGTTTTTACGGAACAGGGTGGATCAGAGTCATGAGAAGGAGGCACTTTTGGGGAATGATAAAAATTGGCAGTCTACTCAAACATGTTTGAGAACGTCAGAACAGTCTTGCCATTTAAATGATAAGAAATAAACATCATATTCTTTCCTGTTCCTTTTATCAGTGTTTCCAACGACATAAATTGAACCTACCTGTAAAAGTTGGCCACAGTTGAGAGTATGTAATAGGATGTGCTGGAGGTGTCCATATAGGCGTGTCCAGCCTTTTTTTTTGGTTTCCTTCCTGCTGCACATTGAAAGAAGAGTTGTTTTGGGCCACACATTAAATACACAAATACTGATGAAAGGACCATGCATGTGGTATCTGGCACCCCAGATAAAAAAACCAGGCGTCAGAAAATCCACATGTGGCCCACTGCTGATTATATAAGAGAAAGAGAAATATTGAAAGGCTTAAAGAAATTGACCCAGGGCTTGGTGCCTGTGGCTCAAGCGGCTAAGGTACCAGCCACATACACCTAAGGTGGCGGGTTCGAATCCAGCCCGGGTCGCCAAACAACAATGATGGCTGCAACCAAAAAATAGCCGGGCGTTGTGGTGGGCGCCTGCAGTCCCAGCTACTTGGGAGGCAGAGGCAGGAGACTCGCTTGAGCCCAGGAGTTGGAGGTTGCTGTGAGCTGTGATGCCATGGCACTCTACCCAGGAGGATAGCTTGAGGCTCTGTCTCAAAAAAAAAAAAAAAAAAGAAATTGACCCAGTGAAGAAGGTAGACAGGCATCTTTAGGATTCTAGCTTTAGGTAAGTAGCCTGATGGAATCTTCAAAACTGTAAACCAAGATACTACTTTCCTTAAAACTAAAGCCTTCCTTCCTCCCTCAGAGTAAAAGCCTGAGTTTCTACAGTTTCCCCCTTGGTTTCTCCTTCCCCAGCCCACCTCTCTGAAGGTACTTCCTGCCTCTGCAGACTCCACTGCTCCAGGTTCTGGTCTTGCCCCCCTATAACTCCCTTCCCCCCAATGCCCCAGGGCCTTTGCACTTGCTGTTCTTTCAGCCAGAATCTTTCAGCTCCCCCGTATTTATGTACTCTCACTGTCCTTCCCTTCAGATCTCTGCTCCCATGTTAGCCTGCTCCTCCGAACCTCCTCACATAAAAGGGGACCCTCCCTGCCCCATCTCTCCCCCCTTTTCCTGCTAGGTTCCTGTTCATTGTATTTATCACTACTACCATTGTGCATTCACTTGCTTATTCTTTGCCTTCTTGTATTTTCCACCAGGGCAGGGATTTGCCAGTTCCTTACTTTATCCTTGGTATATAGAACAGGGCCTGGCAAGTAGTAGTGCTTGATGTTTGTCAAATGAGAAAAGGAGTGACCATTTAGTGTGAGGACTATTTAGCTTCGATTTTCCAGAACGTAACTGATACTAGATATTCTGGCCTATTGTCAGGTCACAGGGTTATAATATTTGGAATGGAAAATACAGTCGTGCACGCTTCCATTGTGTGACCATTCCAAGTCTGAGATTCCACGGGCCACCATAACCCGGAGCGCCTGGTGCAGAGGTCTGTGGGTGGATCGAGTGAATGAAGACCTTAGCTTGTTTTTAGGCTGAGCCTCTTTCTGCCCCTGACCTCATTGTTTGTTCACAAACCATGGTTACTGATTCCAGACCCTGTTGTGAGTCACAACAGTTATTTCCAGAACAGAAACTTTCTTGGGGTGAAATGGTGAAAGCCTGGGGCCAGATTGGTTTTAATTAAATGTAATTTATTGAATTCAGCCTAGTTAATAACTAACCATTACAATCTCAAAAGTCATTAAATGAATGCCTCTTGTGTCTGGGAAACGTAATGAAAGGCAGAGATTCTGCTGAGACTAAGGTTGACTTTTTGTGATCTCTGGTCAGGATTTGACCCTAAAGCACGGCTGGAGGACTGGTGCCATCATCCCGGAGTTGAGATCTGAGCTCAAAATCATGAACACAGAGCAGTACATCCAAACCATGACCTGGCTGCAGACCTTGACCGGGTTACTGGAACAGATGCAGGTTGGGGAGTTTGGTTTTCTCTTTTCCTCATTTTTTAAGCCCGACGTTAGTCCTCTGGTTGAAGTTACTTCGGGTATTTTTTTGTTTAATCGTTACAAAGTATGAAGTTGAAGTGCACTTTACCCAAGGCAACAAAGTGAGACTGTCTCAAAGAAAAAAAGTGTAAGGAGAACTTACTGTGTCCTAGACACCGAGGTCTTTACATTTGTCTCATTCTCACAACAACTCTTTGGCGTAGGTACCAACACCATCACCCCTATTTTATAGGGGAAGAGCCTGAGGCACAGAGGAGAAAATAACTCCCTTAAATAAAGGGTGAGGCCGGGACTCAGACCCAGGCATTCGGGCTCCAGTGCCCTGACCTCTCTGCTTTTTTACAGCGTCACTCTGGGTTCTAACGCCTTTTATGGCGTTGCGTCTGGGTCCCTGGGACATAGAGGAGTGTGGCTAAGAATAAAAACCATCCAAATGAGGGCCAGGGCTCCCATTTCCCCTCCCTGCCCCCCCTCCCCCCGCCTCAGGGTCCACCTGGAAAGGTGTAAGCTAATTCCACTGAGTCTGTGGCGGAATAGTTCTAGAACTCCACTTGGGGAGTATTTTCAGAGCACACAGCCCACTCTTTGGGCTATTTTCTGAGGAGGAAAATCAGTCCCCTGAGATTGGGTTTGACTCTTTTAGAGCCAGGCGAGTGTCATGTGGCGTCAAGTCCAATGAATTAAATAGAAGTGTAGAAGTTGTAGTTTTCAAGAAGTGACTGGAAAGCACCAAGGTAAGTTTTGTTAGCTCATCTTGACGCACATTCCAGAATTTAGCTGTGGTTCACAGTGGGGTGCTGGCATCTTCCAAGGTGGCCTGTCATTGGCCACATCTGCCAAGGGCCAGATAGTCAATATTTTAGGCTGTATGGGCCATGGGCTCTGTCACAATTACTCACTCCACATGTGTAGCACAAAAACAGCTATGGACAGTTGGTGAAGAAATGGTTCATAGCTGTGTCCCAGGAAACCTTATTGGTAGCCGCTGAGATTTGGCTTTCATAGAATTTGCACACGTCATAAGGTTATTGTTACTGTGGTTTCGTCCCATTCACAAGTTTATAGGCTGATAGACAAACAGGCAGATGAGTACATTTGGCCTGGCCTGGGGTAGGCTGTCAAGCTGGCTGGAGTGAGCTCCTGGTCAGACCAGGGCAGGGGGCCTGTGCGGTACACAGGCCTGGTCTGCCTCTGCCTATGAAGAGCTGAGTTCTAACTACGAAGGGTGAAGGTGGCTGAAGGGCCTGGAAGATCAGCCTCTGGTGTGTGTTCCTGGTTAGTCTTTGCACATGTTAATTTGCCCACCCTGGCACGCATGGGTTCACTTGAAACAGTAAATTATAGCTAATTAACACACAGTGTCTTTGAAATATTTCAAAGTAGCCTTCAGATACCTTAGACTGTTTTAAGATGTTTGGCCTTGTAGGAGGACAGAGCTGGGGAAGGGGCAGGCGCAGGGAAAAATCATTTGTATGAACTGGGGAGACTTCAGCAAGTATAGATGTTGGTGGGAAGGATCCAGGGAGGGGGTGGCTCAGATGACAGGGCAACGTTCTTGAGAGGACAGGTGGGAGGGAGTGCAGCAGCTGCTGGCTGGGGTGTGGGTGGCAGAGCCCAGAGGAGTGGGGTCAGGGCACAGACCCACAGAGCTCGAGTGTCCACCCCTGGGCATGTGTCCCTGGCCTCGGATTTCTGGGGCTTTCCTGCTTTGCACATTCCTTTTCCTTTAGCAGCCTTGAGGTCAGGGGCTGCTGGAGGTGATCCATCATTTTTGGCTACAGAAGCCTGGGACAAGCATCAGAGTGGGGCACACATGCTGTCTGCTCCATCACTGGCAAGGCCAGATTAGAGAGTGTGCCTTGAGCTCGGAGATTTGAATGGCTCTTTATGTCTGCAGAGCCTGTGCTGGGAAGGCAGGACTAGAGAGGAGAATGCACACGGCCAGCGGCAGAGAGCAAGTGGATTCATTTCGCTAATCTTTATCCTAGTCACAGGTTACAGAATTCTTTCCTGCTAGTGAAGCCCTGTCTTAGTCTGCTGGGACTGCTGGAGCAGAATATTGGAGACTGAGCAAATAGTGATTTCCCATCACTCTGGAGGCTGAGAAATTCAAGATCAAGGTGCCAGCAGATTCACTGTCTATTCAGGGCTGACTTCACATGGTAGAAAGATGGCTAGAGAGTCGTCTGGGGTCTCTTTTATAAGGGCACTAATCCTTTTTATGAGAGCTCCACCCTCATGCCTTAATTACCTCCCAAAGGCCCCCATCTCCTAATACCACTGCTGTGGAGGTAGGATTTCAACATAAGGAATTTGGGCAGGATGCAAACAGCCCATTTATAACAGGGATGGAGTAATGGGTCCAGGCTTCTGCTTCCTGTTTAGGCAAGGACACAGAGGCCTAGTCCATAGGCTAAGAAGGGTGTGAGGGCAGAGGCAGGGGGCGGGAATTCTCTCCCATAGCCCAGTACCCTATTCTGTTTGGTGTCACATTGTTTTATCACGGTCTGTACCCCACAAGGGGCTCTGTCTTGTTCTTTATCTTCAGGGTCTAGTACAATGATGCTTGGTACATAGTAGGTGCTAAATGAATACATGCACACTCACACACACGTACACACAATTACATATATAATTATATGTATATAATATATATGTAAATTCCATGTATAATTTTCCAATCTAGTCATATCTTTTGTAGAGCCTCAATTCTGTAGTGAATAATTTGTTGATTTGGAATGTGAAAATAGATTAAAAATAGGCTCACAGAACTTAGATCCAGACTCCCTGTGGGGCTGGAACAGTGGACGGGTGGGTGCTTAGGCACTGGTCACCTGCGGTAGCTGTGTCCTAGTGGCTCAGCCAGTGGCATTAGGCCACAGATCCGAATTGCAAGCTCAATTGTAATGGGGTTTTTTCTGAGTGCCAGCGACCCGGAGTAGGTGACCTTTATTACCCAAGCTGTTGAGCTGAGCAGATGTGATAAACAGAAGGCCCTCAGCTCCCACGGCAAAAGCAGATGGTTTGCTCGTTTGGTATTTTCCTCCGGGTTCTAAGGTTACCCCTGTGGTCATGAATCTCAGGGAGCCCCACCTTATCCTCTGCAATCACGTGCACCTCTAATTCTGGCTTCAGTGTTTCTCTTTGGCCACAAGAACCTTGGAAAGAGACTTGGGAGATTCCATTATTGGGTTGTAGGCAGCTGTCCTTTGTGTCCTGTGCTCACACTTTGGCTCACCAGCGGATTCTCTGCTTTTCCTTTTCATTGAGATGCACTTACCTTCTTGCTTTTTTTTTTTTCCTTGTTAAGCACGTAAAAAGATAAAATGATATTAAAGAGAAAGCTAAACCCATTTACAATCCTACTTTTACACAAATTAAACATTTTTTAATATTAATTTCCAAATGTATGCCCATTTTTTATGTGGTTGCAATTATACATGCTATTTCCACTTAATGCTATTATGTTTATACACATATAGGATGTGTTTAATAGGAAGTATAAATATGTTTATATGTAATATGCGTGTGTGAGATATTATACAAGTATACACATATTTTGTATATACATATGTATTATGTTTATAAATAGTCTTTATTGATAGTTTAATAGCTTTGTAATACTATATCTTAATTTGTTAAAACACGTATCTAATGTTGGACATGTAGAACTTTTTATTTTATTTTTTTTAGTGAGGAAGGCAGGTTTTCAACTGGGTTGTCTGCAAATATATTATTTCATGCCAGTGCCTGCCTCTGAGACTTAAAAACATAAAGCTTCTCCAAGAAAAGCTTACCATTAAAAAATTCTTCTTACCTGGCTCAGCGCCTGTATGTAGCTCAGCAGTTGGGGTGCCAGCCACATACACTGGGGCTGGCGGATTTGAACCCGGCCTGGGCCTGCCAAACAACAATGACAACTGTAACAACAACAACAACAAAAGATAGCTGGGCATTGTGGTGGGTGCCTATAGTCCCAACTACTTGGGAGGCTGAGGCAAGAAAATCACTTAAGCCCAAGAGCTTGAGGTTGCTGTGAGCTATGACAGTACAGCACTTTACTGAGGGTGACCTATTGAGACTCTGTCTCAAAAAAAAAAAATTCTTCTTACCTAATGAGTTCATTTGAAATCAAAAAAGTTGGAATAATTAGCTTGTGGAGAAAAACACAATTGAACTCGAGCGGGGGAAGAGGGAGGGGATTGGTGTGCTCTCGCCCAGCACGCACAATGTCGGGGTGTGCGGCCCACCTCCTGGGGGAGGGGCTCAACTACAACTTGGCCTCTATGTAACAAACACAAGCAATGAAACCTAATAGTCTGTGCCCTCATGTTAACCTGGATTTTTAAAAGAATAATAATTGGCTTGTGTCCTGCAGATTCACAGAGATGCTGACTCGCAGCTGGTTTTGCAGGAGTGGAAAAAAGAAAGAAAGGAGATGAGGTAAGGGCGGCCTATCTTGACTATGGTGAACCCCCACTCTGGTGAACCCCCACTCTGCTCTGGGTGTGCTCAGCCATTGCACATTCCCTAGGGCCAGCCCAAGGCATATGTGCTCTTTGAAACATCCTTTTTGATTTACTTGTTATTTTTTTGAGACAGAGTCTCACTTTGTTGCCCTTGGTAGAGTGCCCTGGTGTCATAGCTCACAGCAACCTCAAACTCTTGGGGTGGAACTGCCTAAGCTCAGGAGTTTGAAACGTCCTTTTCCAGCTCCCGGGTATGAATGTGCCTCCTCCCACCCCCAAATCCAGAATCATCTACCTGCCATTTGTGACAGGTGACATGTCCCCGAGGCCAGCCATCACCATTGTCAGGCCTCACCCTTGTCAGAAGGCCACAGGGAGAGAGACCGCCTCCTCCTCTCATCCTTTCTCCCTGTCTGCATGTGAGCCTCCCGTTGAGGCAGCTGGTCACCCAGTTGCTGGTGATGCTGGTAGCGCAGTGTGGCTGTTGGGACAGGGCTGGAGCTGGGCTCTGAACCCACAGGGAGTTCTTAGGTCTCCGACAGGCCTGGTGCTTTTTGTAACTGTGGCTCTTTCAGGAATGTGTACATAGTCAGAGGGCAGAGTGTTGACTGGGAGGATGCCCTGCCTGCTGTCAGAAGAGCTCGGCAGACGCATGTCCCGAGGGACTGGGACTCCAAAGGGGCTTTGTGGACGGTCATGCTCCCCTGAGAAGGGCGCCGTGTCTGTGGACATGGCACAAACATTTCTACTCTGGGCACACCCTTCCCCAGCCCCTGCCACAGCCATCTGAGGTGTGGAAACGGTGGTTGCTGCTGAGTTCTGGCGAGTGTGTGTGTGTGTGTGTGTGTGTCGTGGCAGCGTGGAGAGGAGACAGTGAGCCCATCCCTTGGGTTCTGCAGAAGCCGAGGCTACTGCACTCGACCCTTCTCCCTCTCGGGGAACTGGCTTTCTGGGTCTTATTCCAACTACTACCAGCCAGTGGCTTTTATCACACAGCTTTATCACACAGTGTCAGCAATGGTATTTTTTGCTGCGTTTGTAACTGTTCTATCCTCAGTGAAATGGTGTTTGTCCATTTTGCTGGAATATTCTATGTGTAGGACCCTTGGTGTCAGAGGTGTGCGCATCTGCCTGTGTGCAGGAGGGCTGGGGATGTCGAGTCCTCGGCCTTGGCTGCCAGGAGGCTGGGGGGTTCTGAAAGCTGTAGGGGATGAGGGAGAGGAGCCTCCTATAAAACAGTCCTCTCACCTTACTTAGTTCTGTAGTTCTTATTCAAAAAGGGCGGGTCTCGATCCCGGTCTGAGGACATTTATATCTCTTGTGTGTGCTGTTGGGAGCAGCTCCTGGCTCCTGGGCTTTGGTTTGGGAAAGAAGGGGCGTGGGTACTTAGGGGGCGTGTGCTTTTGAAAGTGGAGCCTTGCGTGAGTGTTCCCATTCGTGTCACGAATGGGTAATGCCATCAGAGTCCTTTGGATAGATAGGTAGGCAGACTTTTCTTGATTAGGAGCTGAGGCTGCCCTAGACTAATTTTTCTATCAAATCAATCCTATTTTTTAAATACAAGTGATTTTGATTTAAATAATTTTATAACAATTTTGAATCATTCTCTGTTGCCTTTTTTTTTTTTTTTAATTGCGTCTTCAGAGAAATGACCAAAAGTTTCTTCAACGCCCAGTTTGGAAGCTTGTTCCGCACAGACCAGAACCCAACCTACTTCCTGAGGCGCCTGTCGCGATTCGCCGACATCTACATGGCGTCTCTGAGCTGCCTCTTGAACTACGACGTCAACCACACTTTCTACCCCCGGAGGACTCCCCTGCAGCACGAGCTGCCCGCGTGGTCTGACATGCCCTCCACCTTCGGAGCCCCTCGCCTGCAGGAGGCTCGGGCCAAGTAGCTGAGGGGCCCCCCACTCTGGGGAAAAAGCCAGAGACAGTGACCCCCTCCCCAAAGTAGGGTGGGCATGATGGCCCTGACTTTATGTGGGTCTGAGTGTCGCTTCCAGGAAAGGTACAGACACCCCTTTTGATATTCACTCTGTACCTGGGGGAGACTACTGCTCCCCAGGGTGCTAAGACGGGAGCCAGCAGCCCGCCCGTGGGGAGCCCTCTCCACGCAGGGCTGAAGCGCAAGCTTCCTTCTGAAACTCTGATTCCACCTTTTGGTTTACCAAGGTCCTGGCACTGATGTCAGTTTTTCTGGGATAGGAGAGAACACCGGATGCCATCTCTGTATGCCAGAGGTCAAGTTTGGAAATGATTCTTGGCTCCTCTGTGGAGCATTTCCTGAGTGTGCACGGGCAGTGCAGTGGAACTGCAGGTACACGATGACGTGCACAGACAAACTGCTCGCAGAAAGCCCATGACATAGCGAGCTCCACGGAGCAAACACTGCCCTGAGTAGCAGCGATGATCCCCGAATGGCAGCCAGTCCCCAGATCACTAGGTACGGACAGCTGGCATCCTGGCGCATTGCATCAAAGACAACGCAGCCTCCTTGGAAGAACGTCCGTGAGAAAGAACCAGAGCATTTGCAGCCGCTGGGCCCTTTCCTCCCCAGTGTGTATTTCCTGCGCCCTGCCCCTTACTGGGGATGGACACAAGGTGCAAAAGTGTTGGGTGGGGTTTTCCCAGGGAAGGAAGGCAAGGAGATAAGAGCTCTGGTTAAAACCACTTCCCCCAGCAGAACAGACTTCAGTGGGATAACGCTGGGAGAAACCAGTGGGTTTGAGGAACTGAAACATCAGTGGGTCTCTCAGGAGGGCATCAAACCCAGAAACGCCCCTGCACTGTTAGTCTAATGTGCTTGTTGGAGGAAAGAAAATGACACAGGGCAAAGTGTCCTTGTGATGAAATGCCCACCACGCCACTTGCTGGGTTGAATTGGAATCTAGTTCAAACATGGGCATCATCAGAGCCAGTCCTTGCCTGGATGGAAACAGACCAGATGCCTGCTTTCTGCTAGAGGTTGGCCAACTGCGGTAGCCATTTCTGGGCATGGGAGGAAGGAGGTTGTGGCTTAGCCAAATTCCAACTCTTGTCCTCCCTGGATTTCTTTCCTGCTGTGCTCTTGGGGTATTTGGGAGTTAGGATGGTTTGTCTGAGGGTTCTAAGGTGGGGGAGGATGAAGGACTTTGTAAGCAAGCTAAGAGTTAGAAATAGCTGACTGAGCTTTTCTCGTTTCCGTTCAAGGGCAGGCAAATGGCACGCACAAGTGCACATACCTATATATACATTTTTTTTGAGAGAAGAATCCATGATGTCTCCATTTACAATCTCTTTCAACATAAAGTGCATATTTACTGCACGCTCTTGAGTGCTGTAGGAATGTCTGCTGTCATCAGTTACGGTGCTGCTAGGAATATTTTAAGTTGCATATGCTTCATAAGTACTGCTGTTCAGGTCAGCCCAATCTGGCACTGCTCAAACTGGCTTTAAGCTTTTGTGGCAATGTGGTGTGTACGCTTAAATCTACGGGCCGGCAGGAACACGAAGGGGGCTTGTGGAGCGTGCTTGCTTGTTCAGCATTTTTAGTGAAATGAATGTATCGTGATCAGCTAGGCATGAAATGCTGACTTGGCATTTCATAGGCTATTTCTGCCACATTGCGGAAATTAAACAAGTTCTGTAATATCATTTGTAATGCCACCTACTACCACGTATAATGGGATTTTACTTGTGATATTTTTGCTATATTTAACTGTGCTGGTGAAGGTGACCTAACCTAATTAGTCTCCTTTTCTGTTCTATATGACAGAATCTCAGTATGTTGCCCTAAGTAGCGTGCTGTGGCGTCTCAGCTCACAGCAACCTCAAAGTCTTGCCTCAGCCTCCCAAGTAGCTGGAACTACAGGCACCCATCACATCACCTGGCTTCTTTTAGAGATGCAGTCTTGCTCTGGCTCAGAGCAATCCTGTGGGCTCAGCAATCCACCCACCTTGGCCTCACAGAGTGTTAGGATTACAGGTGTGAACCACTGCTCCTGGCCCTTCTTCTACATTTTATTATAAGCACAGGAAAGCACAGTAGTCTGTTCCTTTTTTGGAATGAGGTAGGCATTTTGTTTAATGTTTGTTTGCTCTTAAGTATTTCCATCATCAGTGTATATTGGAGGCTGGCATTTAATGGGTGCAGGAGACACCCAGTGTGGGGGGTCCTAAAAGATGCACTGGTGCTCTTGGCTTAGAGTTTCTGCCTCGGAGAAGCAGAGTGAGGAAGTCGATATTGTTTAAAAAACAACTCTTGGTTTTTATCGAATCCAATATTAATTGGCTGTTTACTAGGTTCTAGAAACAAGGTGTTTTGTGTACACAAGAACGAAGCCGAACTATTTTGAAAACCTGGTTTCATGAGTGTTTCGGTTAGGTGACCTAAGCCTTGGAGAAGAAATATATTTTCTTGGTATAAGGGATGAATTTTACAGTTATTCCCATTGAGGAGAGTTGGGGTTTCTGGGCCGTTGAGCTTGGCAGTTTTGTGATCTACTGTGTGGCCACAGCCTGGTGTCTGTTGCCCCAGAGCCACCAGCCGTGTGCCTGGTTGTGGTGACATAGCTGAGCATGGCCATCTTCATATGGAGGACAGGGACCTTGCCCCACTTCACTGTTCATCCTTATCCACACTCAGTCGAGACAGATTTTAACTCACCTCTGTCATGATGCTCGGCTGGGACCCGGCACACTGCACCGGGCATTTCATTCTTTCTAGTTGGTTCTCTGGTGTGCCTGTTGATGACAGCATATTGGTCCTAGGGACGTGACTCTGTTTTCGACCATTTAAACAATCCACTTGTAAAGCAATTGGAATAACTTTAGTTTGAACATTTAGAAAATTAATTGTGTTTTAACATTGCTTAGACTGATTTTTTAGAATAACGTGAACCCAAGTTTGTAGTACAGGGCAGCCCGCGCCAGCTGTGACAGTTCAGCAAGGCTCACGGTACCCATGGCAGGTCCCGTGAAAGAGACTTGCCTAAGCGATTATTTTTTTCAGAGTTGGGTTTATAGATGAAACCTAGTTTTAAAAATATTTTAGGTGTTTGGCTTACAGCGGTCACTTTCCTCCTACTGTTTCCCCCTTTTTTTTTTAATAAAGAATTTTTTTTCCTCTTTAGCTGCATTTTCTGCTTTCACCCTTGATAGCATACAACATAAACCACCTCTTACTGATTTGGGCTGTCCAGACTAAATCACTGGTTGCTTTGACAGCATCAGCTCTCTTAATTATCACAAAGGAGAAATGAAAAGTAATCTCGCCTCCTAGCTAATTGGGCTTGGAGTGCCCTAAATGGCTTTTCCTCTCTCCTGCTCTCAAAAGGCCTTTTTAAGCAGCAGAGAGGGTGCTCAGTGTTGGAATTCTACTTTTCCAAATGCCCATTTACTGCCAAACACCCACTTGGAGCCCTTGTCTAGACTGCTGTGAGGCTGAATCAGCCAGATGCAGGGTTCCTTGATTACCCCATTCAGCCAACAGCCTCTGTTTCACCCTCTTCATATCCATTTCCTTTTGTACCAATTTATTTATTTATTTTTTTGCCTTAGCATTTGGGAGCTCGGCTCAAAGTTCACTACCAGTGGGTTAAGGGAAGGGAAAGGAGTGAATTTCCTCTCCTGCAGGTCAGCATAGTTTCCCTATAAGGGGCCAGATAGGAAATAGTCTTGGCTTTGTGGGCCAGTTGGTTGTCGCCCTATTCTGGGAATGGGAGCTACTTAAGGCTGTGTTCCATTGTAACCCAATTTACCAAAATAGGCTGTGGGCTGGATGTAGCCCCCAAGCTGTGGCTTGCTGGCCCCTGTTGTAGTGGATTGTGTTGGTGGCAAGAGCGAGATTCTCTTCCGGAGAGCGTGCAGACGCCCGGGCTCACGGTGGGTCTGCGGGTCCGTTGCTGTGATCCCTTACCAGCTGCTTCCTGGCATGTTGACTCGTCTGGCCAGTGCGTGCACTTGGGCTGCAGCTCGAGTGCTCATTGAATATACCTCTCATGTATTAGTTTGTACGTGTGCTGTTTGGTGCTGGGCTCAGCTGCCCAGATGACCCTTCCCGACTGAAGGACTGACTGAAGGACTTCCCTCCCCCACTGCTGGGTGTGCTGTGGGGCCATTCAAGGCTGTCAGCCCTCTTTGGGAGTTCCCCCTGCTGAAGAGTCCTCCTGCCTGGGTCATGCCCCCTTCCTGCTGGTTACCCTTGACTGCTTCCTGTGGAGTGCAAGGGCCTGGCCTCCCACCTGAACTCTGGAGAACCCTGTAGGGCCACCCCAGCTCCAGAGCTCCTCATAGGTGACCTGGTGGCGGCGAGGTTTCACTGTGGCTGCACTGGGGCCCAGCACCTCCCCTGCCCTGCCTGGCCCACAGCACTCACTCCCCTGTAAACTTACCCGCATGCCAATCTCCAGCTCGGTGTCTGCTTCCTGGGAACCTGACCTGGGACAGCGGTTCTCTGCTGTTTCTGGCCCTGCAGCCTTGAGCTCCAACTTTGAAGACTCTTTTCTAATGATTTAATGGAATGACACATTATGCCTGTATGATACCAGGCACAATGAATGCATATTAGGTAGACTTCACTATTTATTCTCATGTGAATTCGCTATTTATTTTAAATGTTGACGTTATGTGCTCTGTGCTGTTTAAACTTATTGCCAAATAAAAGTTGGAATTGTATCATCTGCATTTATCGTCTGTCATCTGTTTCGAGTGCTTAGGTTGGCCTCAAAGCCATGTTGAATTCTAACGAATCCACAGTGTTGTTTTCTGAGCTTCAAGTTATTTCTACTAAAAGAAATTAAGGAAGTCTTGGCTTAAAAAAATCCTAATAGATTCCAAAAAGGATGGTTTCCTGAGAGCAGGGGTGAGAGGCATGGGTTCTCCCCATACCCACCCTCAGCAGACACACAAATCTCCAGCCTCTTTCTGGAGCTTGAAGATTGTACTTATGTCCCAGATGGAAAGTCAGCCACCGTGGGCAGCAAATGATTGGAAATGGGCCACCACAGGGACTTCTCTCCTGGAGAACAAGGAGAAGCTGATGGTTCACATCTTTGTTTGTATCGGATTACCAGGAAAGCTGGAGATATTTTAAGGAAAGGAAATAGGGAACTGGGAGTGTTATGAAGTCAGTTCACTACTGGGTTTTGGATAATTTATAAATAATTTGAAGATCTTTTTTTAAAAAAAATTTTAAAGTATGTTTAATACCTTAAAATCCTTGATATCTCATTTTGCTGATACCTTTATTTTATTCACACCTATGAATATTGTGGCTTTTTCCTCCTTTTAATCACTAGCTGTTTTTGCACCTGTAATGGTGGGAATTGGTGGACTCAATATCAGATCTGTGCTGTATTTTCTCTCCAAAAAAAAGAGTCTCACTCTGCTGCCCAGGCTTGAGTGCCCATGGCAATAAGCCTAGCTCACAGCAACTCAAACTCCTGGGCTCAAGTGATCTTCCTACCTCAGCCTCCCAAGTAGCAGGGACTACCAGGTACCTGCCACAACACCTGACTAATTTGTCTATTTTTAGGAGAGACAGAGTCTGGGTCTTGCTCAGTCTGGTCTTGAACTCCTGAATTCTGGGATCTTCCTTCCTTGGCTTCCCAGGGTGCTAGGATTATAGGTGTGAGCCACTGTGCCCACCTTCCACATTCTTTTTGAGGTGATTTCCTAGAAACTTGGCATTGCTCCCATCACAGCATGTCATGCAGGAGGAAGTGACAAGCTGCTCTTCCTGGCAGAAACGGAGGGTGCTTCTCAATTTGGAATTGTGAACGAGCTTCTGAGATACTTTTAAGGCTTCCAGGACTTTGGACTTGGCTCAGCAGAAATCCTGATGATGTGGGATGAAGTTATTTGGACTACGAAGACAACAGAGAGGGGAGTCTGAGATCTGCCCAGCCCAGCCTTTCCCTCTGTCCCCAGCAGTGATCCCCCGCCCTGGCCTGTACTGGAATGTGTGGAGTACATTCCAGGTGGGTGGGAGGCTGATCAGTGTCACAGTGTTGGGGAGGGCACTGCTGACATGTTGAAGGTGAAGAGCAGGTACACCAGACTTTCTGCATTACAAGGAGGAGC